ACCTTGCTCAGCCTAGACATGGGGGATGTCATGTGGTGATGTGATAGAATTCGTTGACTCCCCAAAGGAAGCCTTACTCTCTCTGAGGAACAGATGAGATATGGAGTGAGGGGAAGGTGAGGTGCAAGAGGGGAGGGAGGGCGAACTGGGATTAGTATGTACTAATGTAATGTAAGAGTTAGTTAGTAATAAGCCTGAGCTATTGGTCAAAAAAATGGAACAGAGGTTAGAAGGTGCTATGATGGCATGGGTAAAGACAATGCTTCCACTGTTAGTAGAAATAGAAATTGAAATAGTCACTATAGGAAACAGTACAGAAGTTTTTCAAAAGGATAGAAACAGAACTATTATATGAGAGTAATAGAACAGGATACCCCACACCTCCATACATAAGCACATGTATTCATACATATTTCTGTATTTATGTATATGTATGCATAGCAAACATAAACCACACACTGCCACATCTGTTAAATTTGCTAGTAATAAAAGCATACTTCTGATCATGGTGAGTCTAACTTTCCAGATTTGTGACTCCTGTCCAGCACAGCTACTTGAGATAGGCTGTCAGAGCATTAGCATTTATTCAAAGGGTATCCCTGCCACTCAGCTTCGTGATTTTGGAAAGCCGTAAATCTTAAATAAGTTTTTTCAAATGTAAAGTGAGGTTAATAACGGTGTTTAGAAGCTTATGTTGGGATTGATACTTAATATAGACAGGGATCTTATTGTGCAAAGTTCCTTTCACTCATTAAGTCTTTCATGAATGTACCACTATCTTAGAAGACAACATTGTTTCCGTGTAAGCCAGAGATAGCACATTCATCCACATTCAGGGTTTAAGAGACAAAAGCAATTGGTAAGCCATGTCTCTTCTTCATAAACAATGACATTAGACTCAGAAGTTAAGTTTTCTTGATAGCGTCTAAGTTTTGAGAAGAGAGGTTAGTATATATGTGAAATTCCTAAATATACATATGTGTGTATACACACACATGCAAACATGCACACACATGTGCACTCCCATATATATGGAGGGATATCATTTTAGGCTTTTAAACAGTTAAAATTCTGAGTTCAATTCTGCAGTTAATTTAATAGTTCAAATAGATCAATCTCAAAATTACATTCTTCTTAAACTTGTTAAGAAAATATTTGACTGATTATGATTTTATTTTTCAAAATTGATTTAATAATAACTATTTAAAACATAAACAAATAGCTAAGAACCAGTAAGTGCTCTTGCTCTCTCTTTCTCTCTCTCTCTCTCACACACATTCACACTTTCATAAAATTTGCTAGAAGAGTTTTGTCTCTTTGGTATGCACAAAGGTAAGCTGGCAGCAGAAACTAAAAGTCCCTGCATATGTCAAAAGACAAGCTTACGTATTAGTATTATGGACAACGCTTGCAGTGCATTCTGTGCCTGAACTAGGAGTTATAGAATGATTTTAAACTTCGGATGGCTGCTTACCTAGTTTTTTTTTCTTTTTTAGACTAAAGAAACAAAAGTTGTATAAAATTCTGTGGTGAAAAGCATATGTTGTAGCACTTGCTGGCTTTGAAGTCATCTACTCACACATGATTAGAAAGTGAATACAGTCCCTGTTTTCTGAGTTCACTTCAGCCTAGGTATCTACTCAGCATCAGTATGTGTATCGTAATAGTCCTGCACTTACATGCAAATCTGTGACAAGCAACTGTGCAACATTGCCTATGACTGCATGACATCTCCATAACATACGCAAGCATCTGAAAAACCTGACATATAGAAAAAAGAAGGTAATACAAATAGTTACTATATCAATTTGTATTTTTATTTTAGAAGTGATATTCAATATATATTATATTTCTTTGATACAGACACAGTCATCTGAAAAATAATGAAAATTGACTCTGAAATTATCTATCAGAGTATTTTCATTTTCATTGAAAACAGCCACAGCAGCTTTTGGTGATCTGTTCTAATCAGTGCTTGAGATGGGCTGATCCATCCAAGTTGCAGCTAGAATCACCAGTGTTGACAGTGGTTATCTTTAATGTTCCTTCTACCTTTTAAATCCAGCTAATAAAATGATCCCATTTTCTTAATAGTGATAGACTCCAAATGTACTCTAATTCCAGGCAGAGATTCTGTTGAACATGTATTTGAGGAAATGAACTGACACGTGCTTGACTGTGCAGTAAAAAAAAAAAAAAAAAAAAAAAAAAAAAAAGAACTACATAGAAAGGAACAATCCTAGCTTCCCATATCGACCATGCTGATCAAACAGAGAGAAACAATGCCCAATGCTTAACATTGCATTTTAGAAGTGAAGTGGAGTCTGTTTCTTCAGAATTAAAATCTCTGATAAGGAAGGACTCCAGAGATGCTAAGAAACAAGTGCTTGTTATGATTAATTTAATAGATCTGTGATTGCTTTCAATCTTACTGCATTCTTTGCATAAAGACCAAGAAATAAGATCTTATAAGTAAGAGCATTTTTAGTGGCATGAATATCAACTTAACCATTATGAATAATCAAAACCCTGTTCTCAGCTGACATCATGAACTCACTGGACTTCTCTGCCGGTCCTTCAGGAGGGAACCACATTACATTTCACTTGATCATTTTTTTCCAGCCTCACATGGAAAGTAACCATGCCCTCATTTCTCAGAAGCATCGTCTCTCTTTCCTCATTCTCTTTGGCCAGTTTAGATCAGACCTTCACTGCCTCAAGTTACCACGTTTGCTCTAGCTTTTGCCAATTTAATTCCATCCTTCACATAAGATGGGTGTAGCCTTCCCCTTAATGCCAGTGTTGCTATCTTACTCATGGACTCCAGCACCAACAATAGGCTTTAGTACTGCTCATAGCCTGTTATAAAAATGTCAAGTGTTCTTTTAGACAAGGAGGTGGGCAGTCCTTGGGCTTCCCACAGGTCAGGGAACCCTGATTGCTCTTCGAGCAGATGAGGCGGGGGGGACTTGATCGGGGGAGGGGGAGGGAAATGGGAAGCGGTTGTGGGGACGAGGCAGAAATCCTTAATAAATAAATAAATTTAAAAAAAAAATAAAAAAAAGAAGAATTTCCTCATCGTCTCTCCATCCATTCTACTGTTATCTATTCTTTCCTGTGGTCTTTATTATTTTATTATGAATTATCTATTTCCTTTCAATTTAACTGTTCTTAGCTAATATTTTGGATATCAAGTTCAAGGCTCACCATCTCTGGAGAAAATTTAATCATTTTCCCATTGCTTAATTCTCCTTATTATTCTCTTCAGTTCTTTTTAATGTCTCAACTGCACAATTTAATACTAAATACACAAGTAAATTTGGTATTTTGAATATAGATGCATGTGTCAGTACACATTGTGCACATTTACAGAAATGTCTTTGCTGTTATTATTTCATATGAATGGGTTTTGGATTTCCAACTAAGCTGCAAGTATGCTGTATTCAATTTCCCTGTGGTATTATTGATTTTTCAGCTTTTTTCTCTTAGAATCTGCTCATCAATAAATATTTTGATTGATTAATCATTATTTCAACTTTTTTTTTGCTTTTCAGCTATATGTGTTTTGTTTTTTTCTTATTTATGTAGGACAAAAAGGTATTGATAGAATATTAGATAATTGTTTATAACTGTGTACCCCTTCCTTGTAGGGGGAGTACAATGGTCTGCTCCATTGATTTTTAACCTGTTGAGTGGGGTATGAGTAGAGGGATGTGTGCTGCCTCTAAGAAGGAAGTGAGGGAGAACAACAAATACATGGCACTCTCTTTTGCAGTGAAAACTGGATAATCTAGACGAGGATGCTTTGCCAACTTGGGCCAAACAACTGGGAGCTGAATAGAAAGCGATCTTCAGGTGACTCACAGTTCAGAGCAGAACCCAGTCCTTGTGGTTCAGAAATAGACATGACTTACTCTTGTAAATCACTAGTACTTTGGAGTTTGTTTTGTGTCTAAAATAATTGACAAATATAAATAATTAGAATAAGTCTTCCTCATTTTTCCAGAGAAGTAAAAAGGTCTGTCTTTTCTATGGTTACTTAATGGAAGAGCTATAGAATAAGCTATGGATGGGGTGCTTTGTAGACCCCTGCTATCAGACTTTACTGTCCTTTTGCTGTTTTAAAATTTGAAGAACCACTTCCGTGATTGATGCTTAGTGCTTGCTGTCTGAACCCAAGTGCTTTTCTGATCTGGCATTATCTTCTAGCGAGTATCAAGTAATAAAGGTTACAATTAGTATCACATAAACAATATGCCTACCTAGAAGATAATGACCCTCTTTGGAGTCAAAGTTTGTCTTGTAAATAGAATGAGGTGCTGTGACTACCTCTGATAGAAATTATTGATCTACAATTATTTTCAAACTTTCTTTCTTAAGCAGTTTTCTATCACAGAACATTCTAGTTTGAAGCTGGATGTATTATCTCCATAATCTTTTCCTTGTGTTCCACCACAAATATCTCATGTATACTTTAATACCAGATGGAGGATTTCAAAGGCTTTACCATTTCCTTCATGAAATTCTCATGAATATATATATATATATATATATATATATATATATATATATGTGTGTGTGTGTGTACATACACACACACAAACATATCTGAAAATTAGTATTCTAATTTATCCCGAAGTACATTTTGTGCATTAATATTCTCAGAAACAAGTTAATTTCCACAACTCCACGTTGTTCACTTCCTTAAGTGTAGACTAGATTGCTTAGCTTCCATCATAATTTTGAGCACATCTACTCTATTTGACACATAAAATTTTAGAGCATGAAAGAAGTTATATACAATAATACTTTCCTCTTATTTATGAAGAAATGGACATGTTTTATACAGGAAATTACTTGTATGACATCACTTCTAAAAACTGTTTTCATATAATGCTTTTTGTAATAGGAAGAAAAATATGATGCACCAGACAGTGTAGCTAAGTACCTTTTTATAATCTACATTCCCCTTTTCTATTTAGACCATTTAATAGCCTTACCTTTGTGAAAACACATCTCGGTAGGGGCTGCCATGCTGCAGTGCGATGCCATACCCCCGGTCAGCAACGGTATTCCCCACAGTGTAGAAGGAGCAGTCTGGGTCATTGATAGCCACGTATTCCAATACAGCTGCATCCCATACAAAAGCATAGTTTCCGTACTTTACCTGTGAAGATAAAGGGAATGGGACAAAATAGGGACTTAAGGTTAATAACTGCATAGAATAATAAATATTACAAAAGTATATGTGAAATTATAGGATAGATATGTTTGAGTAAACACATATTTGTGCTTCTGTTAGTCTGTAGCTCTTCAGGACATGTGATGAAGCAAGAACACTAGCCATGTTTCTAGAGAACGTGGCTTACAATAAAAGGGTCCTTGAGTTGTAGATGTTATGTGGTCGGAAGAAGGTTAAAGGCATGTCTCTGAGCTTAGAATTTCAATTGAGGAACCCTTACAATCTATGCTTTTACAATTATTAAGAGGTGCTGACTCTGTTAGGTTACTAGTCCTCTAAACTAGACACATTTCTTTACACTCAGCAAGGTTTCCTCATGACGAGTAAGTGGAGACTGCTCATTTGTTTCCCCTCTGCCCAGACCCCAATAATCATATAGAAACTGTATTAATTATAACATTGTTTGGCCAATAGTTTAGGCCTATTTCTTGTAGTTCTTATATCTTTAATTAGCCCATTTCTCTTAATCTGTGTATCACCATGAGGCTGTGGCCTACCGGTAACATTCTGGTGTCTTTCTCCTTCAGCAGCTACATGGTGTCTCTCTGATTCTGCCTACAATTTCTATATATCTATGTTTAAATTTTCCGCCTGGCTTTACTTTGCTAAGCCATTGGCTAAAACAGTCTTATTTATTAGCCAATAAAAGTAACACATATACAGATGGACATTCCACAATAATGACCATGTTTTACATAAAAACTCACAACTCACATTAGGGAGAAATTATTAGTACCACTCTACCCACTTCATGGTATCTTCTTTGTCCTTTTAAACTCATCAAATACAGAGAATGGAGCTCTTACAAGTGGAGCTAAAACAAATCCCTCTTGAATGTTTTGTTAACATGTGTTAAAAAATCTTATCTTATGCATTATTGTTACATCTTTTCTCCCAAAGAAGTCTTTTTCCTTTGATAGCAATTACAACAAGGAAAACAATTCTACAACATTCTTTATTAATACTTGGAAACATTAAATTCATAGTGGGTCATCTATAATATAGTTAAGTGACTTTTTCAGTCAACAATACCTCACATGAGAGTCCTCTGTTATTGTTTGGACTTGACATGTCTCCCCCAAAGGATCACATGTAGAAGGCTAAGCTTACAACTGGTGGTATGGTTCAGAGGTGGATGGCTCACAAGGCCTTAGACTTCTTCAGATCATTGACAGAACTGCATAGACTCATGGGAGTCTGTATAATTCTTGGCAGCAGGCTGCTTGCCTTGGAAGATATTTCTTGTCCTGGGCCCTTCCTCTTTGTCCTTGCTTCTGGTCACACCTAAGGTGAAGTGCTCACCTCCTTCCTGCATGTCATTCCATCATGATACTCTCTGCTCTACCATATGCAGGGCAGAAATAACAATGCCAGGAAACCATGTTCTGAAACCTTTGAAGCTATGGTCCTTCTACTCTTAAGTTGTTTTCTCAGATGTTAGGTCACAGTGATAATAACTAATAACTAATAGTAACTAATGCACAAATGTATCATGAAAGCAATTGTGAAGGGTCTGGAGAGAGGCTTGCTCTTCAAGACCACTGTTTCTCAAGCTTCCTAGTACTGTGAGTCTTTAAGACTTATATTGTGGTGACCCCAAACCATAAAATTATTTTTGTTGCTGCTTTATAGCTGTAATTTTGTTACTACTATGACTCATAATGTAAATATTTGTGTTTTCTGGTAGTCTTAGGCAATTCCTGTGAAAAGGTCGCTCAAGCCCCCATGGGGTGGTAACCCACAGGTTGAGAGCCACTTCTCTAGAGGACCTGGGTTTAATTCCCAGCACCCACATGTTAGCTTACAACCTTTAGTACTCCAATCCTAGGGGATCTGACACCTACTTCTGGCATCCCTGGGCACCAGGCATGTATGTGGTATATGGATATATATTCAGATAAAATAAAATTTAAAAAAATTAAAAAGGAATGAAATAAGCCATTGTGATAAATATCTTAATAAAATTTATCTGGAAAATGTTAAATATAAAGATAAAATTGAATGAATTCAAAGAACAAATAAATAACCCCCAAAGTTATTTTATTTATATTAAAAGAAGAATGTAGCATTATTAACATGAAAGTGGACATTGAAGATGGTTCAATGACCAAAATGCTTACTATAAGCAAAAGGATCAAAGAATCAGATCCCTTGATCTCAGATAAATGCTGAATAGGCATGGCAGCTCACCTGTACTGCATGGCAGCTCGCCTACACTGCCAGCCTTGGAATGAGACAGGGACAGACACAGGGATACTCAGAGCAAGATGGCTAGAGAGACTAGCCATGTTAGTGAGTTCTGGTTTTGACCGAGAGTTCCTGCCATAGGAAAATAGAAAGAAAAGAGATCCTGGTCCAGTGTTAACCAAGTACCAGAAACTATATCTTGCTAAGCAGACAGGCTCCATAAAAAGTTGAATTAGGATCAAAGAGATGGTTTAATGATTAAGAGCATTGGCTGCTCATCCAGAGGACCCAGGTTCTGTTCCTAGAACCCACATCAGGTGGCTCACAGCCATGCAGCACCAGTTTCGATGCCTGTTTTCTGAAGGGTCTATAGTCACATGCACATACCCACAAGCATATAAACATACACACACATAATTTAAATTAGTAAAAAAAATCTTAAAAAGTATTGTGTAACCTGATTCTTTGTCAGGTATAGTGGTACATGCCTTTAATCCTAGAACACAGAAGACAGAAGCAAGCATATTCTCATAGTGTAAGGCAGCCTGCACTATGTGACCAAGTCCCAGGCCAACCAGGGTTATACAATGAAACCCTCAATTTCTTTCTTAAAAAATCTTCTAAAGACATCTGTCAATATGTAAAACAGTTATTTTTATCATTTTTTTTTGTTTCTCATGACATGGTTTCTTTGTGTAACCCTGTCTGATCTGGAACTCATTTTGTAGACCAGGTTGGCTTCAGACTCAGAGATCCCACTGACTCTGCCTCCAGAGTGCTTGAATTAAAGCAGTAAACTGCACAGCTCATTCATCTATTTTAAACTAGGAAGTGATTTTTCTTCATGAAATATAGAGTCATCAAGCAGGCACATTTGTGAATGTCTTTAGTCCCAGAACTTGGGTGGATTTCTGTGAGTTTGAGGCCAGCCTGGTCTGTATAGTGAGTTCTAGGACAGCCAGAACTACATAGGGAGACATTGTCTCAGAAAAAATAATATAGAGAAATAAAGAAATATAGAGACCTACAAGGAACAAACCACTGGTAACTCGAATGATATTGCCAAAGGGTCAAGAGAATGATGCCTACAATTATTTCAGCTCGACATTATGGTGGTGTTTTAGCTTGTGCAATAAAAGGGAACCAAAACATGACTTCATTCATTCAAGAATAATTTGTTATGAGATAGAGACAAAATTATATTATTTTATGACATAAATTGCCTTCAGAAATTAACTGAACAAGTATTTGTAAGTATCTTAACACATAGACCATCAGTTACATATTACTCGCTGTCCTATAACATTCCAGTGAAAGATAAATTATTTGATAAAAATACATACAGTAAACGAAACTACTTAGTATTAATTTAATAGCTTGCTATTTGGTACTATTTAAAGCAGTTTAAAGACAGTGCAGAGGAACTTGTTTTTATCTAAAGTGTAGTACATCTCTCAAAGTTTGGATGCACAGTTAAATATATATAAGTACATATATAGATATATTAGTTTTCCTCAAGTTATTTGAGAACTTAATGATTTTTGCTTTTCTTTTTCTTCCTTCTTTCCTTCCTTTTTCTTTTCTTTTAATTTTTTAAAGACAGAGTCTAACTGTGTAGTTCTGGGTCTGAAAGACTTTACTATGTAGACCAGCTTGGCCTCAAACAGAAATCCAACTGCCTCCACTTCCTGAGTGCTGGGGATTAAAATCATGTACCACCACATCTGGTACAATTCTAGATTTAAAAGGGACAGTTTAGGACCCATTTGTCACCTGCTATGGCTTTACTTTTTTTGCTTTTTCAATAAAATGTTTCTCATGAAATAAGGAATAAATTAAAATTCTCAGGGTAATTCCCCAGACTACAACCATCACAATCACCAGAGGATTCTAGTATTAGAAATAAAGATACAAGATCAAATAACAAATTTACTACATTGAATATTGGAGGCTCAAAACATAGCAGTATGTATTTCAGCAACCTTGACAATATGCATATCATTCTTTAAATATTTCTGTTGCTGCTGCTGAAATATTGGTGTAAGGAACACTTTTCTCCAGATAAAGTATAAGGAAAGTTAACAGGGATAGAATCCAAAGTGCTGATATAGGAGAAACTGGAAATAGATGGCTAATTTTCTCCTGCATTGAATCTAATGTCTGCAGAATTACTCCATTTTTTTTTTCTTTTTCTGATCCTTTATACCAGACATCAAATGTCTGTTCTATTTCCAGATTCCTCTGTCTAAGTCTACAGTTTTTGAGATATATCAGTGACATTGAAACTTTCTCTGGGAACCCATTTTGACCTGTTCTCTTCTGTGTCAATAGTCACTATGTGTTTTAGGACCTCTTCCAGTTTCTTTAGACTGGTCCTCCATGCCTGAGCACATCTCACTTTGCTAAAAGAAGAGGATTTTAGTGCTATTGGTACTACTTTGTGAGCTGTACATTGCACCTCAATGTATGGCAATATTATCATTGCCATTGCATATGTTATGTCTAGCAATTTAATGTTAGGAAACTTTTTAAGTGAATTTTTAGAGAGGTGTTAAGATGGTGCAATGATAGCCTGTAGCAACACCCATGAAACAATTTTTAAAATGTTCTTGGCATTTTTCATTCCCTAAAGCATGCAACCATTGTCCTTTAGATGGTTTGCAATTATCAAATTTTAACTATTGAAATACCCTTTAGCAAAGGCTACAGCCATCCTTCAAGAGAGAAAATAATTGAGA